TTTGATTATGTATCTAATGAGTAGTTGCTCCTAATTTCTTACCTTAAATTTGAAGAAATACAAGTGAGTGCTTTTTCTGTTGCAACTCCCTGGTACCAGGGTGCCAGGTAAATCAGAGTGAAGTAGGAACTGCCTCATCAGGGACTGTGGGCAAAGCAAGGTGTGCAGCTGCCTCTGCAGGCTGTGAGGGATGAGGGGTCAAGGGCAGTGGGGATGTGCTGCTGCTCCCTGGAACTCCCAGTCCCAGGGTCACTGGGAAGGAATTTGCCTGCCTGGCCCTGCTGCAATATCTCTGGGAGAAGCAGGCAACACGATGAGACTGAGGCTATGCAAGCCTTGTAGTTGGTCAGGCAGGGCAGAAGCAAGGGTTGTTTTGTCCCAGCACGTTTTTGGAGAGTGTTCTCACTGTATTGCCAGGTTTCACTATATCTAGCCAGGTTTTATGCTGTTGTTTTTCTGATTCTGTTTAATGCCCTTGGAGTGGACTGTAGGTGGACGGCAATGCTGCTGGGAAGGGAGAAGAGCCTCCAGCAAAGAAGCAGCCTCAGGGCTCCCCAAGAGGGAGAGTTGAGCAGAGCTAGAAGGAAGGAGCGTGTCCTTGTTGGAGGTTGTGCCTGCTGCAGGTGGTTTACACAGACAGCTTGGGAGCACACTGCAAACAGAATGGTCCATTTTCCCAAAGCAAACCTCCGTGCCTCCAGCGCAGCCTTGGGAAGGCTGTCCTCTGCCTGAGAAAGTGGCTGCTAGCAGGAATGCATTAAGGACTGCGACATTCTCAGGTACAATGGCAATGGGAGTCACCTGTGAGCTATAAATAGCACTAACATCCTTTCTCTCCAGTGCCTGGAATCCAAGCAGTCATTTTTGCGGGTGCTAGTGAAAATGAACAAAGCTTTGAAGAGCTTTTATTTACTCTCTCTTTTCAGGCTGGAAATTTTCTTAGTAAGTAGTGACTAGTTTTTCTTACTGACTCTGAATTTTGCATTTATTTTAAGGGAAAATACTGGCATTTTTTTCTTTTTGAATTTTTAAAAATTATCATAGATAATTTTAATATCTTTACCTCATCTGTGTGGGAAGAGCTATTGTGGCAGGACAGTTGGGATCACAAGTATTCATTTTCAAAAATGCTCTGTGCTATGGCAGGAAAAGGGGGGAAAACCTAGGAACCTAGATTCCGTCTTATATAAATCTTACATGAATTTTTAACAAAATAATGAAAATGTTTGGTTCAGAATTAGGCAAATAATGCAGGATGTCTGGGCAGGTTTTGTGGCGTTTACATTGAGAGACCAGACAGCAACAGTGGTTGCAGTAAAAGGAAAAGCTTTACATGCCTACCAGACAAGATCTTCCTACAGTTTGATAGGAAACAAAGATGGCTTTGTTAAGGAGCTATGAAGACCTGAGAGCAACACTGGCATAAAGGAGCCTTTTCAAAATATTTAGGGTTCACTTGATGAAGTCTTGTCATAACATGATTAAGTCTCACCTGTTATGCAACTCTCCTTTTCTCTTTATAGACAGCAGAAAACACAAAGGTCTACAAAACAGACACTTTGCTCTGGGATAACCAAAGAACCCCTGCTACAAGATTAACTAGTGAAGCTGGAAAAATTACTCAAGCTTTTAAATATGCAAGAGGGGCTGTATTTTTTTGCAGTGATGCCAACTAATCTAATTCTAGATTAGACTCTTTTACTGACAACCCTTGTCTCAGGCCAGCGGGCAGCGCTGCGGCTAGTGAAACGCTGTGATTTTTCCTGCTGCCACAAGATGGCAGGAAAAAACAATGTTGGAGGATTTAAAAATACACAGCGATGAGCATCGCAGAATGGAATACACTCCTGACGGCATTTAAAGGGAGAACTTACAAGAAACTGTGCACTGGATGAAAGAAAAATGTGAAGTGTACTTAATTAATTAGATTGGTATTGACCTGGGTGTATACCTCAAAAGATCTACACTGTATCCTTTCCTATGCAGGTTTTGTGTATAAGAAAAGCCTGTGACAGTGCTCAATTTTCCCTGTACACTGTGCAGTTTGGCCGGGTTTTGTTCTGCTCACAAAATCTGTCATACAAACCAGTCCAAGACATAATGCACTCACCTAAAGTAAAAAGCAGGGTGACTTTTTTAGTCTTTTATACTGTCTTCTTCCAAATACGGTTATCTTCCCATTTCCTGTTCCTCCAGCCATACTAGAAAAAGAGCCCAGCTAGAGAACACTGCTCTGGCTTTTGGGAACAGTGGAGACACGAGGGACAGCAGCTGGGCAGGAGGGCACTCCTGGGTGCTAACAGGATGTGGCACTGGGTTGCTGGGCTGGGGAGTGGGTCAAACCAGTGGGGTCAAACCCCCTGCCTGTTCTCCTGGGAAAACTGGCCCCTCAATGCAATGGGTGTCACAGGAGCTGCTGGGGCTTTGGAAGAGGGCTGAAAGGGAGGAGTCTGTGCTGTTCATGCTCTCTTCCCAGCTGTTTTCACTTCAAATACTTTTCTTAAAGGAAATAAACCGTCTACAAGAACAGAAATTGGTTTGGAAAGTACAACCAGACTGGCTGGGGGTTTTGAGTTATAAAGAGGCACTCCTCCTCAGCAGCCAGTGTGGTGGCTCCCCTCCATTCTTCTAACAGATAAAAGAAAGCTGCGGAAAACTCACAAAGATTATTGTGCACCAGGAGCTCGTTCACTGGAAGAAGTTAATTGTGAATGGTAGCACTGTGCAGAGCCGGAGGGTCCCGGCCCTGGCCCTGGCCCTGCCACACCACTGCTTGCAGCATGGCCTGGCCTGGCCTGGCTTGGCCTGCCTGGCCTGGCCTGGCCTGACCTGGCCTGGCCTTCCCTCACTGAGGCATGGAGGACGTTCATCAGTGCCTTTGCAGTTTGTCTGGTGAGGGACAAAGCTCATGGTCATGGCAGCTGTGCTGCCCTGTGGCAGTGGCCTCCCCAGAGCCTCCTCCAGCACCAGCCTGCTCCTCACCCAGCCAGCCTTCCTCCTCACCACCCAGCCTTCCTCCTCACTCATCCAACATGTTCCTCACCCATCCAGCCTTCCTCCTCACCCATCCAGCTTGCTCCTCAGCTATCCATTCACCTTCCTTATTCACCTTCCTTTCTCACCCAGCCTTCACTGCTCCTTTTCTTTTTTTCCCCCACAGCCTTCACCCCTCCTTGGATCTGATGAAGGCAAGGTGCTTGTTGGGTTCGTGAGGGCTATTAAGGACTTTTGTGCTAGGACCAGCTCTTCTTTTCAGTCTCTAGTAATTAAAAGTATCAAGAGGCTTAAGAAGTAGCCAATCTGTTGAAAGCCAAAAGCTGGAGGATACACAGCTGTCCTGTTTCTTATGCTGGCTTTCTCTAGGCTCTGCTCTGGCCTGATGGAGAATGAATAACTAGCCAGCCCTTCAGGTCCAACCTGCATTGGCTCTTTTTCCACCTGTCTTATGAACGCTGTGTCCACACTACGCATTAATAAATACTGAATTCTATAACATGGGCACCAAACATCTAGAATCTGCCTCCCAGGCTGGCAATACATTTGTCACTATGAATCAAGATTCATTTCACAGTGACAACATGGAGGAGAATGAGAATGACAAGGCATCAAGAGTGAAGAAGCAAAAGCAAAATGCTTAAAGCAGCTTTCAGCTGTTGAGATGATGAGGGAAAAAGAACTGGTAATACGGGTGCCACTGGGTAGAAGGGATTTTCTATTTCTATTCTGCTGGGTTAAGGAACTTTCTATTCTATTCTACCAGGTAAAAACTCTGTCTGAGTTTTTAATTTTTGTTCTGTTGATCAGGGTGTATATGCTTGAGAGGGAACAAACACATGTGCATGTCAGCTCCAAAGGGAGGAACCCCAAGCACAGGTGACCTAATCTCACTCATGGTGTGGTACTGGATCAGGTCTTGAGAAGGCTACACTGACCTCTGCTTTTCTCTTGCAACTTTTCACAATTGCCACAAGCAAGGGCTGAGATTGGATGGGTCAGTCTTAACCCAAAAGATCTAATCTGATTCGAAATGGAAGGGCCCATAGCTACATGAGCTTGATTGGGCCCTTCTCTCTGTTTCTGTGACTTCCTGAGCACAGGAACGTGGCTGCTGACTGTTGGAACAGAAAAATGTGTCACAGAGCTGAAGTGCTTTTCTTACCCTGACTTACTTAATTTCTGTCCCACCTCCTTCTTCCATAAAGATGTCTGTCATGCCTGTCCCATTTTCTGCCTTTCTAGGGTCATAAATAATAGTGATTACCAAGTAACTTCATCTCATCCCTCTATTAGCTTAACCATTCCCTTGATGGATCACAGACTGGGTGACAACAGGCAAAATCTCTGTCATTAAAAACTCAAACTTCCTCTGCTCTCAGAGCTGCTGGTATGGTGACAGAGCTCCCCTTGCACACAGGCAGCCTTGCCTTCTGCCTGGTTACATCTCCTCCAGGCAGGATGGTGCATCCTGACTTTACAGCTGCTGTGTGTGGCTACACATGCTTTCACAGCGGGATCTATCAGCACCAACCACGCCCCTTGCGGGGATCTGAGAATGCTGCCTTTTGGCACAGGAATGAGCCTGCTGTCCCCAGAGAACATAAAGACAAAATCCTGGCCAAAGAGGGAATCATGAGAACAGAGCTAAGGTTTTGACTTTGTAAATGTTTATCTTCAGTCTGTATTTGATGTCTGGGTAATAAGGTGACCAGTCTCTTACAGAAACGTAAGGCAGGTTAAACAACAGAGGGGCACATAGTGGTTTTCTTGAGCTGCAGCACAGAGCATGTGCAAGGCCTTACCATTCCCCACTTGCCACCTTTGTGGCTGATGGATGCTTTCATGCAGTGTCTCTTCCTAAGCCTTTCAGATCTGAGCTGTAAGTATGGTTGATACAGCTGGCTTCTTTTTCTTTTTTTTTTTTTTTTTTTTTTTTTTTTCTAAAAAGAATGGCTTTCCCTTTGTACTTTTAGCATTTTTTCATGATGCTTTGGTTCACTCACCGTTTTCCTCAGTTTGGTCAAGAAACTGTCTGTGAAAACAAGAATGGAAAAAAAGAAAATTATCAAAGACAGCTTTTTAATATACACAGGGAAGAGATGTTTCAAAGTGAGTTTATCAGGTTATGCACCTAAGTATTATTTCTGCCCTTGAAAATCTTTCACTTACAGTGCTCAGTTGGTCTGTGCAAATCCATTGCTTAAGAGGTAATTGGCCATTTTAATAGAAGGATCAGAAACAAAAACACTCCAGGCTGTTGTTCTAACCATTTAAAAAAAAAAAAAAAAAGGAATTATGGAAAGAATATGTTTCAGGGCATCATCCAGCCTCTCTTGAAACTGTGCAAATTCACTTGGTGAAAACAACAGCAGACACAATGAAATGAGTTGTACATGAAGAACTGAGATCTCAAATGTGATATTATGCAGAAAATAAAGAGTCTGTACTAAATAAGTAACAGCTCAATGTGTTACCAAGGGTGCATTTTGATTTTGATGAATGTTAAAAGAACCTTTAGCCTTGAAAATAAAGAGGATAATTTCTCTCTAGGCAATGGCTGCTCGTGAAAGTCATAAAATAAGAGCACTGGAGCCCTAATTTTATAGTGCTTTTTAAATGATTTTCAAATGGTCCAGCTGCTTTGTGCCACAATAGCACAAGGCAGAGATATTTATGCCGGCAATAACAAGCATGCATCAGCCTGCCCAGGCTGCTCTCCGCAGGCAGCCTGCGGGAGGCGAAACACACGTGGAAAGATGATACTTGCCAATGTGGATTGATCACAATCACGCCATGGTCAGAGCAATCCTGGGAAGCCACTTTTTCCACCCAACAACTTGACTGTTTTCCTTGTCTGTGTGTTGCCTGTGAAGCACAGGATCTGTGTGGCTGGCAGCGCTGGTTCTATTTTGACACTTGAGAGCCTGCCAGCAGCAGCCTCTTAGGCCACACCGTCCTTGGCTGATGTCTCTTTTTGGAAATAGGAGGGCAAACTCACCCCTGCGTTACACTGCTGGTTTGGGGTGGGAGTTTCCACGAGGACTAGTGTGGCCCCAGCTTTGGTGGTCTGATGCAGCACTGCATTACCTTCTCCAGAAATGCATGCATGTGGCAAGTGAACTCTGGGCAAATCCTATGGAATTCTGCTGAGATGCTGAATTGCCACCAGCAACTTTTCCCAGATATTTTACCTTTGCATGTTTAGGACTTCAGTCTAAAACTGCAATTTATTTTCCAAACAAATGCTCCAAGATGAGAACTATCCTGGGGTGGTCTAGCTTAGCTGGCCAATTTGGGTAGTCATTTCAACAGTTCAAAAAAAAGTTTCAATTTTTTTTCATTACTGTCCCCTCTCCCTGGCGAGACATTGACATAAGACAGGGTACTGGGAGAAACCTGCCTTCTGAGCCAGCTGATTAGGCTTTAAAGAGCAGTTCCTTTATGAAATATTCCATTAAAATTAAATAACTTATCCCTTTCCATGTTCACTAGTGCTAGAGGCACAGCAATGTTCAAGTAATAAGAATTTTGGTGAGAACACGAAATTTTGAGCACAAGAGAAATGTCTAATTTATGGCTGAAAATTTATTGCATTTGCAGTAATTCTCAGGTCCATAAAGCTGAGAAAGACCTGGGCAGAAGGCATGGCAAGAAAAAGTTATCTCTGGAAAGTCCTCAGCCATTGAGCATCTATTGTCACCAGGATGAGAAAACTGTCTCCCATCTGGATGACTTGTATGGGTTGGGCAATATTTTCCCCTTTTCATTTGCTGATCCCAATCAGCAAAACAGGTTAGCATATTTTTGTGTTCAGGGATAAACTTAAAAGCTTTAATTTTAAACAGGGGCCTACTTTCTCTTGGAGTTGAGTTTTAAGAGTTTTAATGAGTGGAATGGACAGCAAATTAGGAATGTATCCCAGAGGAGTACCTAGCATATTTACTGCCTTCATTTAACCGACTGATTGAGGGATGACAGGAGCATGCAAAATTCAGAAACATTGTATACCCTAAACAGAGAAGAAAAATAGATTTGATGCCAAAGCTTTAGGTCATGTTCCTTTCATCTTTATCTCATATTCAGATTGTTCATCTGACATTTCTCTTTGTCACTTTGTGTTCTTTTAATTTCATAGGAGTTTAGAGTTTACATAGGTGTATACTGTATCTTAGTTCAGTATGTAAATCCTTGATGAAATTGCTCATAACTGGGTAACTTTTTGGATAGCACTGCCTAGATGAAAGTGACAGAATATTGTAAGCAAAGCCAGCATAAAGGAAGCAGATCTGCTTTTTCTAAGAATAGAGCAAATAAAGATTTTTCCTTTCAAAACAGACAGGAATACACATAGTGCTGTTCCAGGCTGCATGGAATAGTGCTATGGTCACAGATTGCATAAGTTTGTACTTCTGCCTCCCTCGCATCGCATCTCATCTCATCTCATCTCTGAGAGATCCAATTTACAGCAGCTGAGATAAAGTAGCCTCCAGGGTATTACATACAGCCCTTTCATAAATCAAGAACTGCTTTTTGTTACTAGAGATCTGAGTCCCGAAACAGAGGAAAACACATGGCATGAGGCTTTGCAAATGGCCAACTGGCATATCTCTGCAATAGCTCTTTGCAGCTTTTGGCTATTTCTCAAATGAGAAAGTAACTATTTTTAGTTATTTTTGTTGTGTATTCTGACAAATCAATACAGGAAAATAAAAAAAAATTGGAGCTCTCTGGCTGAGAGCTCAAAACTGTCTTCCCTTTTACAATTGCTTTTCTTTTTTCTCTCCTGTGACAGAAGATACATTCTGATGATTACTAGTACACCACGTGTGATCCTTGCCACTGATGTGGATATGGTTTTGTCGCTCACCCCTAATCTCTCAGGATCCTGCTGTTTTCCCACGTGCCAATGAAGACCATGTCTGTAAGTGGATAATTAGGCTTACCTGAGTGATTGAGTGACATTTAGTTAATGCTGCTAAAGTAATTTGTGATTGCTTAATGCGAGTGCTGTGTAAGAGCAGCAGTTTACTATTGGGACAGGGATTTACCATTTGACCTTGTTAATGCACACAGAATGTACAGAAATGTGCAACACGGTCAAAGTCGATTCTGTCCACTATGAAAGCTCATGATTACAAGTAGCTCAAGTTATCTTGTTGTCTTATAATGTAATCCTGTCTGTAGTGCCCACCTGTCAGTGCCCACCACACTCTGAGACATTTTTTCCCCTTTGAGAGGTGTAAGAAAAAGTAAGCTAGTAGAAGAATGGTAAAAGGTTGCGATTTCTGAATATACTCACATCTGGAAATGCAGAATTCCAAGTTATTTCACTTCTGAAAAGAAATAAGTTTAACAAGTTTTACTGACTTCAGTTGGCTACAATCACTTGGGACTTCTGGCCCAAACACCCAACAAAAATTCACCTCAGGAGGTAGCTCAGGTCCTTCTATAACTGGATTTGAAATATGTACATTGAACTCACTGAGGTTTTAGCACAGCTTGTACAATGTTTCTTTACTGAAGTGATATTAGCCTTGCTGATCCAGTTAAACTTCAGTTAATAAACCTGCCTGCTTAAGGTCAGCATGAAGTTTGACTTCTGCAGGACGTGTGCCCTCAACTGCTTATTATATAGCACTTCGGAAAACATTGTACCTTTAAACCCAAAGGGTCTTGGCCTTGGCCTTGTATATCAGCAATGGCTGATAGCCAGACAAATATTTAATAATCAGTTTGTTGACAACTTCAAAGTCCTCCAGGATGAAAGCCATCATGTTAAGTCAGCCATCCCTACTTTATTTTGTGATATATTTAACTTGTTTAAAGATGTTGAACATCAGAATTTCTGATAAAGGCATACAGAAAAATATTTCTTATAAAATACAGCATTAATTCTAGATTGAGCTTTGATTTCCAAGTAGCTGCTCAGAAACTGCACATAAATGGTTCCACAGAAACAAGAAGTGACAATATATGGTACTGTTCTGGGTTATTTTAGCTCTGGCACAAGTCCTGAGGCTGGCATGGGTTTGCTCAGTAACAGAAACATCCATTGTTTATTAACTTCACTGAGTACTGGGTTGGGCCCTAAATGCACATACTCTCTCCATTGCCCATTTCTATCTTATTAAGAGCCCATGAACCCTTATTCTCAGGTGTTGTTCCTATTTGTCTTATTGATGTTGGCACAATAAAGAAAATTCCATCTGTAGTACTTGATCAACTTCCAGTTTCAGTCTTTGCAGTCTGTAACTCATATTTAAGCTGATATTAGTGATCAGCTGTTCCATGAACAAAGAAACCTGTTTACATTTTTATTTGTAAGCTGAATGTTCTTAACCTTCATATTTTCCTTACTACACATACACACTGTTGTTATCTATATATTTTTTCATTTTATTCTCTACCCATTTCTTTCTCCCTACAAGAAAATGTGATTGAAAGAAACATTCAAGAGTAGTTTGGAACATGTATATTCACAGGCATTAAAAGCAGGTCTTGAAACTGCACGTAAAAGGCTGTCTAAAATCAAATGTTGCTGTTAAGAGAACACAATTTCAGCGATGTTTGTCTTAAATCTTTGCCTGTACTACCTGTCAGGCTCAATTCTACAAAACCTGATTTCTGCACATGGTTCTAATAAGTAAAAGAGTTGATTCCCAAGTGTAGTTACAAGGTTTAAGCGGAAAGGCAAGGGTCGGTTTCGCACTCTCCTGGCCAAGGCAGGAGTTCAGCGAAGCGCTGCATGCACATCGTTGTGGCTTCTGCCTTAGCACAGCCAGGCTCCGACCAGGGCCCCGTGCTGCTGGCTGTCCCCACCCGCAGGGCACAGGGCCACCTGCCGGCTGCCATGCTCCTGCCTTCAAGTGCAGGGGCAATCTGTAAAATCAAGTTTTGTAAATGCAGATTATTTTCCCAACATCACCTAGCTCATTTTGGGCGTTGCTGTTTCATAGCTTTAAGAATGGCCACTTCAGCTGGATCAGTGGGCAATCAGCAGGGTTTTTAGTATCCCCTCTTTCTCTACTGTAGGAATTATTGTAATTTCTAGATATTTCAACAAGTTTGCAACCTGATGATGGTGAAAATACCCTTGTTTTGGCATACCACTGGGCACTAGGCATGTTGAGTGAAGATGATTGCATGCTTCCTCTATGCTTCAGAGTGAAATACCCATCTGCATAGTTTTCAGAAATAGTGAAGTCTGCTGTCATTCAGAATATCCATAGATTTGTCAAAATTTCAACTGCAAATCAAGTTGTCATATAAACAGCCAAAATCAGAATACTTTTTAATGTGAAAATTTCCATTCTAGTTAAAATTACACCAAAAAAGGTAAAAACCAATTATTCTTCAATTTTAAGGCTGCTCAGGATCATGAGCCTGTCTTGTCCTTTGTATGGTAAATGCTGTAGCATTTATAAAATCTGTATGCTGCACAATTACAAATTAATATCAAGCATAAAAGAGAGTCTAATTCTTTTTAAAATTGTTTTTCTGTGCAGTAGATTCTTTCTTTAATGGATAGTCCTTTTGTTTTCTTCTGTGCTAATCTTGTCTATTTTAAGGCAACGAAGTTTACCAATGCTAACTATATAAAGTTGGACAGCATATGTTAATGAGTACTGTATTCCCCAGCCCTTCAGAACAGCTCAGCCTCAAATAACACTTACATATTGCCTATGTAGAGATTAGGCCACTCTTCACCCACGTGATTTAATTCCACCTTGCAGCTGTCCAAAATATCTGGCAGTTCCTGGGCAGAGGGAGTGCCAGGCTCAGAGCATTCCTGGGCTGACAGGGTCTGTCTTCAGGTGCTGAGCCCTTTGGAGGCCTGATGCAGAGTCAGGCAGAGGAGGGAGGGCCTGCTGCAAGCCGCTGCTGTGGGATGCAAGGGGAGGGTTTTGCTGAAGCAGGCTCTTTCTGCCGCTTGATGTTCCCAAGCAGGTGGCTGACTCTAAATACAGCTCGCGCCTCGACGCCTCCCTGGATTAGCTCAGCGCTACGTCCCTGATGCAATGGGGAACAGCCAGAAAAATGAACCTTCTGCTTTAAGTGAATCTTATGCAAAAAAATGCTACTCCCGTCCTCACATAAGCTGTGGTGCTGTTCCTGCCAGCACAGAGCTTTCCCTGTGCTGAAACGTCAGTGAGTGCAACCGAGACGCAGTCCCAAATGCCTCATGTGACCCAGTTCTAATAATAAGCTACCAGGAAAGAGGGGACAGCACAGCTTGAGGGTGAGTTCAAAATAAACACCATGAGAACACTGGTCCTGGGCCTTACCCAAGGTTCACCACTGTCTTGTGCTTGACTGTGGCTGAAAGTGAATGCCTACAGAATGTAAGAACACACAAGCATTAATTATACTTGTGTATATAATAATAATAACACTCTCCCAGCTTCCAGCTGCAGTTTATGAGCTGGCTGATCTGGATGGAGTTTCTAAGTATTTGGTAACCCTGAATGGATTTCTGTCCCTCAGACTTTTCCACTTGAATGTCTATAGGCTTTTACTCTCTGCAGCATTCTGTGGCAAGTGTTATACAGCTCATGTAAACCCCTCCTATTGTTTCAGACCTGATTTCTACTGACTTCATCTGATGCCCGCAGTTCTTGTACTGGAAAATAAAATGAGGAGAGTTCCATGTTTTCACTGGAACGCTACACGGGTCCCTTCAGGTGACTGGTTTTGTGATTGCTTTAAGCAGATTTAAGTCTGCCAGAGCTGTAGTGGGGACAGTTCCTTTCACTTGCACCTTCTCCCAGGTTGTGTAGACCCTCTTGACAAATGTGTATTTTCTGAATGAAGTGCCACTGGGGAGGCAGTATTTTTCCTTAATTTTGGTTCCTTAATCTAACTTGCCAAACTAACATTCAAAATACAAGTTTTTATGCTGATAGTGGAAAGCAGTGAAGTACTAATGTCATGTCACATCATGACTTGAGTTATGGGTAGTGTAAGTGACAGGTGAGGAGGTCCCTTTTCCTCTTAGCACATTGCAGCAGACAATGCTTTCTGTTTTAAGAAGTTACAGGACTATTCTTCTGCTTTTGCTTATGTTGACTGGAATCTTTTTCCCTGCACAAATGTGCACTCAAAGTAAATCTGTATATAAAGAAGCAATACAGACAGGCAGGAAATATAAGCAACACTGACTCCACAGATTAAAAGCACTTCTGTGATTTGACAATGCCCTTGAAAAAAGCTTCTACCTAATTCATTCCTTCCACTGAGGTAAATAAGTCGTGCTTCCGAGATCACTATCATGCCATTGGTGGCATGGATGCCCTACTGACTCAGCTTCACTCTGTGCTCTTCCCTTCCCTGCCCCTGGTGAAACAATACTCTCCCAAGATGAGCAGTATCTTCAAGAGCAGGTACTAATTTACAACAGGAGCAGCTTTCACAGCTGTGGCTTTGTAGGACAGATGCTCAGAGGCATGCAAAACATTATCCTGATGGGAGGATTCCATTAATCTTGCTCACATGTGTCTAATTTTGCCCAGCCTAAAGTCATTAAGATGCATTATTTCACTCACATGAATTTCAGATTTTTAATGCTGTGTCTTCAAAAGGTTTCCAGACTAAAACCTACTGTAATGTGAATGAAGTATAAATTATAACAAAATATTAACTCATATAAATCCCTATTAATTTTTATTAAGAACTTCAAAGCAAAAAAAGCTCCTCCTCCACCACTCTGCTGCTTTGTGAGGTATAAAGATTGTCCTAGCACTGTTGGGTTTTAAATATCATTTCCTATTTGATCTTTTCACACAACAATGTCTTACCTTTTTCTCATCAGTGGAGCACTTTTGCAACATTTAGGAAAATCTCAACAGTCAAAAGGATGTCTGAAAGGATCTTAAATATGCTTATTTCGCAAAGCACTTGTGTACAGAGAAATAGGGAGGGATTTCTACATTCCCCTAAATGCTAGGCAGAATCAGCATTCATGTCATAACCTCTGCAAGAATGAAGAAGGAAATGTGGTCTGGAAAGGAAGAGGTTCAACTCACAAGTCACTATTATATTAGTCTTCTAATAACCTTGCAAGTCTCTTCCAGCAGAGAATAAAATGATCAGAACTGATGCTTCAAATGCAAACAAGCAAGCAGAAATGTATTTACTTAATCTGTCAGGGAATCTTTTAAGGTCAACTAATCAATACATCTAACCAGCAGCAAAGGACAAAACTAAATTTGATTATCACTTCATGGATCACCACAAGGTAACAAGTTAATTTTCAGGCAGAGTGGTAGCATGAATTTCAAACGCTGTTGCTGTATTAAAAATCACATTGGTTTAAGTACTGATTAACTAGTGACAGGAGAAGTGACATCCTCAAAACATCTTAAAACTAATTTGTATCAATTAGGCCAAGCCACTGATGTAAGCTAAATGACTACCTGCTATTAAAGCACGGGTGATCCAACGCCACTGATACAGAAATGATTTGGGATCATTTGGAGCGCAAGCGAACTGAGGAGTCCAACTTACAAAATGCTTTGAAGACCTGACAGTCTTTTTAACATCCTCAATATACTACATGATATACATTATCTTTTTGAAAACATATTTAAAAAGAAAAGACTCGTAGGGTTTGCTGACCCAGGCTGCAAACATTTATTCTGCTGGTGTGGGTCTTGTGGCTGACACACCATAATATTTAGCAGACCAGAAAAAGAGGAACATTTCTGTAGGAGTGCCTGGGCTCTCAAGAAACTGTCCTTGTCACATCATCAAGCTTGAAACAAAGTTTTTCTTAGAACATGCATGTGAGAACTGCGTACTTTCTCAGTAACCAAACTGAGAAAGATGATTGTATTACACCCCCAAGTAAAGGGGACTCAAACATCCTTTACAGCTAGATGTAAATATTGAACTTATTGCCTCTGGCATGAGCAGAAACCAGGGACAAACTTGGTCTGTCTTAACCACTTCAGTGCATTCATCCAGTAGCACCACTCAAGGCACAGCAGTTCCACCCTGTGCAGTGGTTATAGTTCTGCTGTTGGCTGTGCTGGTTTTGGAGGGACTGAGCTATCAGAATTTAATCCATTTACCGTCCTCTTGGCCTTTTATGTTGATGCATAATTGTCTTCATTTTTGTAATGTGCACGGATCATGGGAAGTTGTATATGCACAGCAGCTCTGCAGGGTGAAACTCAGTAGAGTGAATGTAGATAGAGTTGCCTGTTCAGCAGTCCTTCCTTTGCCGTAGCTGAACATCCAGGTTTCGCAGGTGCTTCAGGAAACCACGATTGGGTGAAATCCATCGATGCTCCTTCACTGTCTTGATGGCTTCAACTAATGGGAGGTGGTGATTTATCATGAGATATGCTAGGACTAGAGAAGCTGATCTGCTTACTCCAACTGCACAATGTACCAATATTTTGGCTAGTAAAAAAAAAAAAATACAACCATGAAGATAAGCAGTACAGTGGATTAAGTTTAATTTAAATGTTTTTCTCACTCTTCTGATAAATCACATGAACTGCTAATCAGTTAAGTCTAATTTGCCGTTGTTACAGTCACTTGTATGAGAAATGCCATGAGACACCAAACTGATCTCAGAAACACTGGTAAATCAAAGAAAACCCTCTTAATGAAACTGTTCTGTTTTGACCATGAGGAAAAGAAGACCCATTAGATTCAGCAGGCTGGCTTATGCAAGGAAGAATGCTAAAATCTGGCCTGAATGGATGGCACAGCCACATTAGCCACCAAGAAAAATGACTGGTCTAGTACTATTGCATAATCAGGCAATTTGATGCAACTGTAGTACTATTTTGAAGTCAGAACTTGTGATACAGAGACAGCTCCATTAATGCCAGTTTACTCATGCTAGAAACGTTTTTTTAATGTAAAACTAGTTAATTAGTACCTTATTGCACCACTGCCAAGAAGCTTAGTTTCTTGTGGAACTCACTGTAAAGCTCCTTGGGTAAAAGTAAATCTGCTTCTTGGAGGCATAGCCTTGCAGGCTCTGTTCACACAAGAAACTCATCTGCAATATATGAACCACTTTATACAGTTTGTGATTGCAGAAATCAGAACATTAGTCTTTTATTCATTTGTTCTTCAATAAGACAGTCTCAAAAGAGGGTGTCCATTTCCAGTGCATCTTTTTGCTTCTCCCCTTTTGAATGAGCCTTACCTTCCAAATAATTTTCTCTCTCCTCCCCAGGCTCTCTCTCGCACAGTTTATCTGTTTTGTCATGTCAGCTTTTTGGGACCTAGTCAGAGCTACACCCACATACACAGCACTCCCTTCTCCTGCCACCCACCGTGCAGGTGACCAGCATCTGGCAGGACACCATGTAGTTACTTGTCCACCACTGAGCTTTGTGGAGCTGACCTGTTACATGAGGCTGCTGACTCACATCAAAATGTGACCAACAATCATTTCATACCTCCTGGCGTGTTCAAGGCATTGTGGATAAATTGTGCAGCAGAGAAAAAGAACTGGCTGATATCAAAGCTTGGCAGGTCATGGGCAGGTACACCATAATAATCAATGGTTGTTCCATAAAAGTCCTGGCCTCCTTGGCTGTATGATGTGCCATGGGCAGCGTTTAAAACATGGGTCACACCCATCTTCCACAAAATAAATCTATTGTGTGCTGTTACTCTAAGGAAAAGACAAAGACAAATCAAGATGGGTGCAGTGATATTCACAGAGCAGAAGCACTGAGATTGCATCTCCCAAACCACTGCTGGAGCACCAGCCCGTGCATGGATTCTAAGGGCTAATCGAGAAGGGAATACCAGCTTAGTCATAATTTTATCTCGGAAATCGTGCTGTCTGCAGCGTAAACGATAGCAATTAGCAAAACTATAAGCTGTCTAAAGCCGCACCCAAGAGGCATACTAACAGAAGGTATGGCAGAGGTGTGTCCACAAAGCCGTACTTACAGGTCCCCTAAGAAGAGATTAGGCCATACTTCATCAACGTGATTGCAAGAGGGCCGCCCAGTGTTCAGGAGCAGCTCGATTTCCTTGAGGGAGGGGACATTCTCCGGGCATGTCCCACCGCCTTCAGCGTCCCGGGTGTCCGGCGCCCTTGCCCCAGACATGCTGAGATCCAGGGCGGGACGCCGCTCCCGCCGGCCGGAGGAAGGGCACAGGGCGCTGCCAGCCCGCTCGGTGCCGCGGCAGGCGGCGAGATGGGCTGGGGCAGGTGCCGGCCAGCCAGGCTGGCAGCCAGGCATGCCCGCCCCAGGGCCGGCCGCTCGCCTCTGCCCTGCCCCGACCGGCACAGCCGCTCCAAACATATGCAGTACCAAAGTGGGCACTGCGGATCCTTACTGGTCCAGTCTGCTTCTCTGGGCTCGTCTCCAGCGCCGCACTGTTCTGCCACACAGCAGCCTGGGCGCCCGCGACGTCAGCCACGTGGGGCACAGCCCCCTGCCCGCAGGACGCGCACTAACACTGCCTGTCACTGTCCTCAGCCGTGTCTCGGGACGCCGCTCCCGCCGGCCGGAGGAAGGGCACAGGGCGCTGCCAGCCCGCTCGGTGCCGGGGCAGGCGGCGAGATGGGCTGGGGCAGGGGCCGGCCAGCCAGGCTGGCAGCCAGGCATGCCCGCCCCAGGGCCGGCCGCCCGCCTCTGCCCTGCCCCGACCGGCACAGCCGCTCCAAACATATGCAGTACCAAAGTGCTGCGGATCCTTACTGGTCCGGTCTGCTTCTCTGGGCTCGTCTCCAGCGCCGCACTGTTCTGCCACACAGCAGCCTGGGCGCCCGCGACGTCAGCCACGTGGGGCACAGCCCCCTGCCCGCAGGACGCGCACTAACACTGCCTGTCACTGTCCTCAGCCGTGTCTCGACACAGCGTGGCAGTCATCGAGATCTGGGCATTCATCGCTAGCAATTAAAGCCTGATAAAGGAAAAATAGCAACCTGTCACAGTAATAACTGTTCGTCATTTAGTCTGAGGTGAAAGGGTCAGAAACACACCAGCAGGTCCCACCAACACAGTCACCAGGAGGCTAAACACCAAGGATGATGATGATGATGCCTTGCCTGTCACTGATAATCTAGGGAAATTTATTTCTTGAAGCTACTGTTTTTTCACAAAGTGAAAGTATCTGAGATATCTGTACTTTATATTTTTAATATTTTCTATTGCAGTCCTTCACTGGATTAATACAGTACACCTGCCACATATTGCAGGATGCCTCCCTCTGTTGAAAAGAGAACAAAAGCCAGGAGTGTAATGAGTGTCAGGTGAAACTTGTAAACCATGAGTTAGCTTATACAGGAAAGTCTGGCGAGCCATAAATTAGAGACCCACTATAACTAATTTTAGTATTACTGGGTCTTTTCAAGTACAGTAGTGCCTGTGCTTCTGCAGGATGACTGCTAGTAAGGGGCTGCAAAATTGTCAGTGGTGGAGTTACAAGGCAGAATAAAAGACATGGTGATGCTTCTCCTCTGTAAGCCTGGCAGTCCAGGAGAGAAGGTGACCCACGAGGGGAAGCTTGTTGCTAAAAGTTTCCCCTGTAGAAAAAAAGGTCATGAATAGAAGGAACTCTTGGTCAGGTCTGAACCACCTTCCGTAAGAATTGATATACTATGATGGATTTGCTTTATTTTATCAAGAGATATATCATGGACATTCCAAGCTGGGTATTAAAGTCTGGACTAATTAACTGGGCTTGGGAATACTCAATGAGAGATCATCATAATACAATGCAATAGTTTCCCACATCAGAGGACAAAATCATATGCAACAATTATTTGTACAGAATGTTTCATGAAGCAGAAATTACTTATATTCTGTGGTATTTAGGGAAGAAACTGTTAAAAGCTTCTGGTGTACAAAGAGACTTGTTACTTCCTACTGCCATATATGTTCTGACCTAAAATACTGAATGAGGGAAACTACAAGCAACAGTGCTGCAGTGCTTATTTAGAGGGCGTAGTGGGACAGGCAGCCAGGCTCTGCTGTGGGTGAGGCAACCA